TGTTCTGAATAAAATCGATCAACTGCAATAGTTCTAGACAAGTCCTTGTAGCTTTTGAAAAGCGATGACCAGCTATTGTTTAATCCTTTGTCATGATTGTCTTATAGATAATTCAAACAGTGACGTCATGTTGAACGTGACTGAACTTGTAAGAATGGATTTTTCAAAGCCCATCTTTCCCTTCTATTCTATTTTTTCTTTTTAGACCATCTGTCATTTTAAATTTGTTAACCTATATTGGAATTTTAGGAATAAAGTTTCTTACGTAATAAATGTTGTCACAGCATCACTGGCTCCAAGGTGAAGGTAAACAGAGCTGTATGCTGGTTCTTTTTCTGCTTTTTAGTTGGTTGTGGACCATTTGATTCTTTATGTATATTCGGATTGTTTTGTTTTAACCCCAATTAAACATGACAACAACCTAATTTAAAATGCCCTAGCAAATTTCATAACCCTAACTTTGACTTTACCTATAATGTAAGTAGGCCTATTATGTTCTTATAAAATCGATCAACTGCAATGAATCTTGGACAACTAGGTCTTTGTAACTTTTAGAACAAAAGAGGACCAGATAATCAGATTCCTTTTGTCACAATTGCCTTATAGATAATTCAAACAGTGACGTTATGTTGAACGTGTCTGAAATTGTAGGATGGATTTTTCTTTCAGTGGCGCATTTTTACCTTCTAAGTTTTTCTTTGTAGACCGATCTACTATTTTAGATTTGTTAACCTATATTGGAATTACTGTATGGGATATTGTTGCTTATGTAAATAACAGTTGTCCCCAGGATGCTGATATCAGAGATATATGTTCTTATTCTGAATTTTAGTTGATGTGGGCAATTTGATTCTTTCAGTTCAGATTTTTTGTATATGATACAAAATTCATTATGCAGGATATTTAGACGAGTAACAGTATATATTTTTTTAACATGGTTTATTTAACGCTGGTATTGGGTGCCTAATAAAAGTTACAACAGATCTAGTACTTTGTTGTAGTACTTTCGTTATTTCATTTTATTCATTTATTGTTTTACTTTCGTTTATCAGGCCAATATAGTGCCGTCATATTGAACGAGTCTAAAATTTGTTTTTCTAAGAACTGTTTTTTGGTGGTAGCTTTCTTCCTTATTTTTTTTTTATTTCTCGTAGTACGTGAGGATTTGGTATTAGTAAATCAAAAACTACTAATTTTTCAAACCATTTTTGATGTTATTTATCTATCTGCTTTCTATTTTTGATTAATTTTTATGTTTTTTTTTCTTTCTGTTTTTTTTTTATTCGTACATAAATGGTTTATTTAAAACAACGTTTTTGATTTGATTTATCGTTCAGATGTCTCTGAATTTCTTATACAGTTATTTAAAAAACTACATTTACAAGATTGATATTTTACTTATTTTTTTTCTCTTTATTTTGTTAATGCAGAGGGTTTTTAAACATTTTTACTACATGATGGCAACTCGTACCGTATTACTTGAACATGTGATAACTGCCGTATGGTGAAGCAGTCTTGTTGCTTTTTATTTTGGTTGTACATTAATGTATTTTCTTTTTGTAGAAAGATTATTGGTA